AATATGTGGCAGAGAGGTGCCTCGCGCTGGAATGTGGCCGCGTCAGTGGGAAATGGTCCAATACTGGGCCGGTGTACTTTGGGCAAGCCGAGCCATGCCGTCTGTCTTGCATCGAGTTGGGATAGCTGGAGTAGCTGGTGGTGTTGAGGCACACCAGCCTTCACAGTAATGTTGGCCAGACATCCAGTGAAACCGTATGGATCCGAATCGGTGGCTGAAATCGAGTAGCGATTGGACAGACTTTGGTAGATAGGAAGAAATTAAATAAAGTTGTACATTAGATAGAAAGATGCCACTTTCTAGCTAAACTTCAAGAGAAACGATAAGCATACTTTAGCAATAATAGTAATAATAATAATTGTAATAATTCCACTAGTTATGAATAAGTGTACATTTAAGTGATCTTGAGATTTATTTCCATGTTGAACGTAGAGAAAGTCCGGCAAAGACTAGCCTAAACTGAAGTTGACTGAAATTTATTAATTGATAATTCATTTGCTGAATTAAAATTTATGTGAGGCCATCGAGCTAAAAGTCCTAGTACTGGACTTTAGAATCTGCGATTTGTTTTTTTGAAGAAGTCATTCTCAAATACAATCGTCTTAAACTAGAATTTGGCTTGAACTGTAAAATAGACCATCATAGAAATGACAAAAGGCATTAGAATTAATTAAATTAATCAATCAAAAATTTAAAAGAATTATATAACTATGAATAAAATGGTAGCTAAGCCCAATTTAACTAATCAAGGGGTAAGATATTAAGAAGGCGATTTCCCAATAATACAATATATGCTCTTAAATATTGAGATGTGCAAGATCGCTCTTGAAAATGGTGTTAGGCTAGATCTTCGGAACCTATGGACAGATCAAGTTTTCATAGTGCACTAATGAATGATTGAGGAGAAGGATTAAAATTTTCTTTGCATTCTGCTTTCGTCTGGTCAAGACATTTAGCCTTCAAGCCTCCTTGGAAAAGCACGATCCTATGGATACAAAAGTGATGTAAATTTCAAAGCAAAAATCAAGGATTTGCTTAAAATGACTATTGAAACAAACTATTAATACATTTTTCTAAACTTTTCAGTAAGAGAGAAAATTTGTGAAATATAACAATGAGTTCATACTTGACTGCCTCTCTCCATATTTCCACTAAAGATGATAACTTTCAAATTGTTGATGGCATAACTTTCAAGCATACTTTACTGGGCCCTATGGAGTTAATTATTTGGCAATTTGGTTGAGATTTTAAATATTAAAACAAGAAAAGAGGACTATTTTATCAAAACAAAATGTCAAAGTCCTTCGACAACTTTCAAAGAAATGATAATATTTTTTACTAGCATGGGTTGGAAGACTAAATAGCAGTTAAAATAGAGATAAAAATTTCATTTTCATCCCTTTATGCATAATTTAATAAGTTATTTACTCAAAATGGTTTTGTATTTAGTCTTTATATG